TTCATTCTTATTACTCTGATTTGAAGTCTATTTAATTAATATTTTCAGTAATTTGTAATCAATTCATTCCTAAAATTATTGGATAATTTAACTGTTCTTCTGATCAATGGCAAAGGGTCCCTTGAATACCAATCTTCAATTACTTTTCACTCCTACCTATTTTATATTTTATCCTTATTAGTAGCTTATTGCAATGATTTTTATGTCAAGTAATTATCATTCAGGTTAGTTCTCCATAAACAGTATAGACTCATGGTCTTATTTTGGAGATAAATACATGTCCATGTTGTGCAGTAGCAGAAAATGTCCCGTTTTTCAAAATAATCCAATATATGTGGATTATGAAGAGTATGTGGGGCCTGTTTGGGGTTTTCTGTAATCTAAGGAAGATCAGCTCCTGAGGGGCTGTTCTTTTGGACCAGACCTCACCACTCAGTGAGCTCCTTCTATGCCTTCTACATGGAAACACATAGCACAAGGATGCCTGGGTATGACCCTGCTTTCTACTCATAGGTCCACCCTGTTGCATGTGTGTAAAGGGTTCTCTGGATATCAGATAGGGGTTTACATATTCCTATCTTTGTACAGAAGAAAACTTCTAAGGGTAAAAAGTAATGCTTCATTTTAATCTGAATTTGCCCTGAAGTCAAAACCAAACATAATCCCATGGCCCGTTCCTGATTAGCTTTCCTAGCTCTTCCTTCCCTTTGTGGACACTCCCATCTGCTCTGGATGATTCAATCACTAAATTATCAATTGCATGTCCTCGGGCATTGTGAATTGTTCTGGGTACTGGACCATGCAGTTAGCAGATCCTGCATCAATCTGGGGTTCCTCTTTTATATCTGATTGAAACTGATAACTGACGGTTTAGTGTGATTGTGAAGGAGAGCAGAAACTTGAGAGAAACTATCTTTAGAGGAGATTTCTGTTTCAAGATAGAAAAGACAATGAGAGGATTAATTGTGAATATATATAGAGAGAGAGAGCAGTTTCTCTTAAAAGAGATTTAATTGAAATCATCAGAGTTCCCAACAAAAAAACAGGGAGAAAGGAATTCGATTGTAGACATTGGACTTAGCCAGGAGTAGCATGACTATTGAATAGGAGAAAAGGGTTAACCACTAGGTATGGATGCAGGAATATTTGTAGATATTGTAGTGATAAACTGAGTTACAATTACTTTGTTGTATTATGTAATTCATCTGTGTTACCAACTGAATTGTGTGCCCTCTAAATTCGTATGGTGTAATCCTTACCCCACTACATTAGCTTGTAACTTTATTTGGAGATAAGCTTACTACAAAGATAATTAATTTAAAAAGAGGTAATTAGGGAGGCACTAATCCAATATGACTGGTGTCCTTATAAGAGGAAATCATCAGGGCATAAACATATACAGGGGAGGCCATGTACAAACCAAGGAGAGAGGCCTCAGAAAAAACCAACCCTGCATATACCTGAGCTCAGGCTTCTAGCCTCCAGAATAATGAGAAAATTGATTTCTTTTGTTTAAGTCACAGTCACTAGTATTGGAATAATATTTTTTTCTTTTTTAGCAGAACATAGTATGATATCCAGATATCACTGAAAACCACTTGGAGTAGTGATTATATGGGTTGAGACTGAGATCAACATCTCAGTCATGTGCTTTCAGCTGCTGTTGGAGTCTTGATGAGCAGATGTGACAAATAGCCCAAGGGATAAGAAAACACACTCGTGTTGGTAAATGTGTGCTGAAAGGAGGAAGTGTAGATTAAACTGGACAATAAAATGGAGAAAGACTATGATGTTTGGGAAGTAGATCAACACTCTAGAGGTTTCCATGTTGTAGAAAACCTGAGTAGGAGCAATTTTGTGAAAATGCAAGAAGAAAAGACATTATAATAACAAGGTGCTTCTTCTGATTATTTATGTTAGTGGCACTATTCCAGATAAACGCTAGCTATGCTGTGTTACCCTAAAGAATTTGAGAATAAGACACTGACTGAGCAAAATTAAATGACAGCTGTTCCATTTTCTAGCTGTGTAACTTCATCGTATTACTAAAATTTTGGAACCTCTGTTTATGTCATTTGTTAAACTGGTAAATGAACTATAATTAGCATGGTTACTGTGGAACTTAAATAAGCAAATATATATAAACCTGTAAGTACACAGTCATATTAAATACAAATTTAACTCTCCCACCCCAAACCTCAGGTATGAATCAGGGAACTAATTATTTGTTTATGATACATTTTCATTACTTGTCCATACAATACATTTAATTATTATTGATATATTAGGGGGGAAATTATAGCTTGCAAATGCATTGGGTCTCACAGAAACATATGTATACGTGCATATTTGCCTGGACATATATACGTATATGTATATACAATAAAAAAGGGATGTTGTGGCTAATAAGGATAAATATAAAACAGGTTTTGGAGGGTTTCAGCTACCACTTGACTAAGGTATCACATGGAACCACTAGATTTCCTCCTAAACCTCAGTAATTCTATGATTATGTTCTGTGGGCATCCTTGACCTAGAGGTTTGAGGCAGTAAGTGACAGTAACATTGTGACTCATGTATGTACTCCTGCTACTTTCTGATGCAGGGGATTTTAAGGACTACACTGACATTGACCTCTCTAAATGGAGTAAGTCATTGAATTGATTAACTCCCATCATAAAATAGATTCTTCAGTTGCTTGCTATCCAAGTCCAGGGAGACTTGAGAGCAGGAAGGAAATGAGGGTCCAGAGGGCTCCATGGATGATGGAGAACCACTGCTAGTGCACAAGGCAAGAATAATGAAATCAGAAATTCCACAGTATCTGCAGGTGGAAACCAAAATCGACATGTGACGTGAGCCAGGGATCTCTCTGCTTGGAAATCAGGGAAGCAATTGAATAATTGTAGATGCCACAGGCTCATTAACATATGAAACTGATACTTATCATGTTCTTATATGTAAGATACCTGTATTTTGACCTTCTTTATTAGAAACCACAGCTACACCCTTCTGGCATTTGACTCTGGAAGAGGAGACACTTCTGCATATTATTTTTAGAATATACCACTTGTTTCAGTTTGGTGGGCTGGGTAGGACCCACCCGGGAAACTCTGGGGCTTCATGACACGAGGGCCTGGAAATTGTGCCCAAGACTGGAGTCTCATGGCTTCTTTCTCTATCCCCAGCTTTGCCTGCTTAGAGCTTGGACTGTCTGTGAGTGAAAACCCAGAGAAAGACACCTGGCAACTGAGTTATTGACAATGCAGCCATCGGTGAGTAAGGAATATGTCTTTCTACTGAAGTTACACTCCTAGTACTATTAGATAAGCAAGTTTTTCCTATTGGCATGGATGTTTTAAGTGCAATCAGGTGGTGTTGAGGTATCTGAGCTCTTATTAAGTTTTCCCACTATTCTGGGACAGCTATCATGGGTCAGGAACTCATCAAGAACTAATTTCCTTCCTAAAATTACACCGATTTATGATAGTTTCCATTAACCATGCTTATTTACAGAAAAATCAAGAGAAGTTTTCCTTCTCTCACCCAGCCATGGCCTCATTAGCCCATATGTAACACATTAACCGTATTTTTGGATGTAATGGGCTTGGGATGGTGGTGATTGCATATGATAGAGATGAGCGAGAAGCAGCACATCACCACCCATTAGGAGGCAACAGACTCAGCACGTGAACACAATGAACCCACTGTTACATAACCTGGGTGAGGGTTCAGCAGGAGAAAGTTTTAGTGAGAGGAAGGAATCATTTCATTGTCCCCAATTTTAAATCTCTTACAATTATTAGGATATATTTGCACTTTTGAAAATTTCTAAAAAAATGTAACCAAAATTATCATTATCTATCTTGCCCCCAATCACACATTTTACCTCTTTGTAAAGGAAAGTGTAAGGAGTAGTATTTTCTTAGTTGTGCTGCATACTTAGTTGCTTGAGTATAGTAGGTTAAAAGTAGAGTCCTGTGTAAATATCTGAAAAACTGGATAGACCAAAACCAATAATGAGGCTTCTTTTACCCTTTAACATGGAGACAAGATAAAACTAGAAGAGAAACAGTGATAACTGGTATTTGATGCCCTAGAGACAATTGAGAATGGGAGGCCTCATCCCACAGGAAAGGTCAGGCTAGGACTGTCTTTCAATCCAGCCCTGTCGAGGGCCCTGGCCTATGCTGCCGAACCATCTGACCTTAGAGTTTGTTACGAACACCTGAGTCCTGTAGCATTAAGATAGACAACAGCTCCTGGTATCAAGTTCTGTGTAGATCTTGTTCAGTTCTGAGGAATGCTGGAGATTCATTTAAGGTTCTCTGACATTTTAATTATTTATAGTATAATGTCTTGCATTTAATGCAGATTTGCTAGATGGGAAACACTTCATACATTAATACATTGGATCTTTCAACACTCACAACAAGATATTAAACCAGTTTATAGATGAGGAACCAGAGTTTCATTTAGGGAAATAATCTAAACCAAGGGACATGTTTTAAAAATGTCACATTATGGTTATTGTTTGTCTTCTGACAAATCTGTAGAGTTAACTTTTGTTATGAATTTTCAAGTGAATACTTTATAATCATTTGTCTGGAAATCCTAATTTTCAGGTTACTGAAAAACTTCCAGGTTGTATCATACCACACCTTATGTGATACTTCCTTATAATAAATTATGATGTCAGAGTGTGTATGTTTCTTTGAATACTTGAATATGTGAAAGGCAGGTACCAGCTCAGCATTGAGAGTGAACTGAGTGGAACCCCAAACACAGATTGATCTTTCTATACACCCAGCTCCCCATCATTTCCTCAATGCTGTCATCTCAACCCTCCTATGCTAAACATGGGCAGGCATTGGTCTGTTTAACCTGGAATGTCCATGACATTTTAGGAATCAGTGACCTTCAAGGATATAGCTGTAGACTTCACCCAGGAAGAATGGGTCCTCCTGGACACATCCCAGAGAAAGCTGTACAGAGATGTGATGCTAGAAAGTATCAATCATTTGGTCTTCCTAGGTGAGTCTTAAAGTATGTATGTATGTATGTATGTATGTATGTATTAATTCATTCATTGAGTAGATATATAGAACAGATTACATTATTTCACTCCAATTGCTGCCCTAATTTTTTTCATAATCTTCATAATTACTTAAAAGATGTTTCTTTACATTTTATTTTCATCACCAGGCTAGAATGTAATCTTGACTACAAGTTAATATCTTTTTTGTTACTCAGTATCCAACACTTAGAACAGAATGAGGAAATCAATGGATATTATTAATCTATAAATAATTGAAAAAATATTTAAAAATACTTACTCCATTCCAGTCACTACTTGGAGACCAGTGTAGTGAAAATAAGATAATTTTGATTATTCTTGTGGAGCTGATGTTGCCTGGATTCTGTTTGCAAATAATATTCAACCCAAAGTGGAGACATCAGGTTTTTGAAGAAGAAAAAATGCAAAAAACTGAGTATTCTGCACTGTGTTTTTTTAACTCACTCATGGACACCTGTATCTAGCAGTCCTGACCGTTTTTGCCATAGGTCTGAATTTCTTCCTGGTCTGGTGAAGGACCTTCAGTGTTCTCTTTTGAAGGTATTGTTGACTGGGCTGACCTTCGGTCATCTCTTTATTCCGCCTCATAACCTGCCCTGGACTTGGTGATAGCAATGGTTCATTAGTACAGAACTCAAAACACACATGCCTTTCTTCCACAAACAGGGTATGAGATCTGTAAATCAGATGTGATTTTCCAGTCGGAGCAAGCAAATGAACTGTGGGGTGAAGGAACTGGATTTCTGCAAGACCACAGTCCAGGTAAGAAGCAGGGATCAGTGCTTCAATATGAGGAGGTGCTTGGTCAGTGACTGAGTATGTCCTTAGAAGTCCCAAGTGAAGATTTTGTGAAGGACATGGTATATTCTAAAATGTGAGGACACTAGGGCAAAATTCTTCATGCTGTTATCATTCTTTGCATATCAATCATAAGTCAGGTGTCCTCCTGCCATTTTCCATTCCCTTTAAGGAAAAGGATATCTGTGTGCTTATTGCAGTTAAACTTTCACATAGTGATTCTTCTCCTGATCCTCCCACTTAAAGGTTTTCTCATCATATGCTGACCCAACATCTCCTCACCACTTTACATTTTCAATATTTCAGCCCCGATTTTTTTTTGCCTATTTGGCAATTACCTTTTAAGTTTTTCTACTACTTAAAATATTTCATTTGATAAGCTTTTCCCATCTAAGTGCCAGGTTTTGAAACATACTCATAGGGCTCTTTGTGCATTTCTACATTTTCATTCTTTTAATGCCAGTCTAACCATTTATACTTTTTCAATCACTTTAGGCATGAGAGGTCACCTTAACAAACAAGAAATGATATTACTGCAACAGATCAGCAAGAAGGGCATACCTCTCCCCAAGCCAACGGTATGTTTCATGGGTGTGAACCCAGTCATCCCAATTAAATACCTGACAATGAGATAAGATAGTAATTGAGCACAATCTTCTGAGTGTGATTATGTAATTAAGCTGGGATTAAGCCCTTTCTAAGCAAAAATTTTGGATCATTTGAAATTAGTAAAGAAATTCATATGAGCCAAAACAATCACCTGAGATCTTTAAAAAAAAAAGTGTCATAAAATTCGCTCATTATTTAGTCATTGAAATATACTGAAGTCTTCAAAATTAGTCCTATAACTCCGTGGGTGGAATACTACAAATGGGAAAATATTTGTGTCTGCAGGGGAATAGAATAATATGTGTATACAGCTAACATTGGAAATATTTTCATAGAAGACTATTGCTGAATGATACTCTAGGATTTATATGTAGAGACATGAATGTATGAATGTATGTGAGCAAACCATTAACAATTTTGATCTTCTTCCACAAAGCAGAAATGTTGCCCTCCAAAGGAGCTTATTGAACATATTGATTTGGGCGATGAATTTACTCATACATCTGCACTGACTCAACATTTGTTAACTCACATGAGAAAGAAGCCTAATATGAGTCAACAGTGTGGAAAACCACTTAGTGCAGATTCATCCATTAGTGGACATAATGAAATGCACATCAGACATAAATTATGTGAATGCCATCTATGTGGGAAAACGTTCAGCAATTGCTTTAGCCTCAGACGACACAAGATGGTTCACACTGGAGAGAAACCATTTAAATGTCATCTATGTGGGAATGGCTTTCTGCAAAGCTCTGACCTTAGAAATCACTATCGAATCCACACAGGAGAGAAGCCTTATGAATGTCATCTGTGTGGTAAAGTCTTCAGTCAAAGTTCTTACCTTAAACAACATGAGAAAACTCACACAGAAGAGAAACCGTATGAGTGTCATCTATGTGAGAAAGTTTTCAAGCAAAAAACATACCTTAGAAATCATGAGAAAATCCATCCTGGAGAGAAACGTTATAAATGTCATCAATGTGGGAAAGCTTTTTCTCAAAGCTCTGGCCTTAGCCAACACAAGAGAATCCACACAGGAAAGAAACCACATGTATGCCCTATATGTGGGAAGGCTTTCAGTCAGAGTTCTGAACTTACACGGCATAACAGAACACACGCTAGAGAGAAACCATACAAATGTCACCAGTGTGGAAACGCATTCTGTCAATATGCTAACCTTAGACGACATGAGAGAACCCACACTGGAGAGCAGCCATATACATGTCAGCTATGTGGGAAAGCCTTCAGTCATTGTTCTTCTCTTAGACGACATGAGGGAACCCAACACTAAAGAGAAAATCATGAATGCCTTCAGTAAATATTCTGACCTGAGATGACATGGCATTATACACATAACAAAGGTGGAAGAAACATCAATCATATCTTTAGCACTTAAACACACCAGAGAACTCACACATTAAAGAAACACTGTAAGCAGTATGGATGACCTTTTCATCATATTCTTCATTCCAGAAAAGCATTTTATATGTGAGTGGATCTATGTGTATGTCATCTGTGTCAAAGCCTTTAGTCATTGGCCTAATCTTAGGTCACATGGCAGATCTCACACAGATGTTTTCAGTAATAGCTCTAAACTTTAAAGATACTATATGATGTGTGCAGAGGGTAACCCATAATTCTTCATTTATAATTATTGGTAAAATGAACATACTTCACATGGGTCTGTAATCACTGTGAACAAACATTCAGCCAAGTACCAGGCTTGGTGTGCAGAAGAAAACTTGTTGAAAGAATAAACACTAGAACAGGAAATCAGAAGATGAAACCTCTCAAAGAATGCCAAATACTTATTACAAATAATTTATCCTAGCCAAGTTATTCAAAATCATGAGCAATCCTTTATTTGCAGAGCAATACTTGTTGTATTGGTGTGAATTCAGACTGCACAAAACACTGTGTCAGGAAGGGAAGTCCTTCATTGATCCCATATTTCTTAGTCAACTATAAGATTCTCACATGGAGAAGCTAGTAATCCTAGAATCAATGTGGAAAAAAGATCAGCTAGATATTGTATCAGAAAATGTGAGCGTGAGTGTGTTTGCGTGCATGTGTGTAAACTTTTAAAAGAATCCTTTATTATGCAATTCAGCCAATATTTGAGATTTTTGAGGAAATACCTATTTATAAAAGTTGTGGCATGAAGTGTAGGAGAAAAAAGTGATCTAGTAATATCGAATGTTGAATTTTGTAAGAAATTAAACCTTAAAAATATATTAGTATCTGCAGATATTGAAACAATAAAACTGTTGCCAAGAAAGCTAAATGTTGTATGTAGCTTTGTACACATAAATTCATGTCTGTTCCAAGTGTGTTACAGAATACTTACCTAGCAAGCACACATACTACTGTCTATACTCAAGTGTTCAGTTCATCCAAGAATAAAGGCTGATAGTATTTGGATAAATAGCCATTTTTATTCTTCCTTAGGCATGGCAGTATATATTTATTGTTTTTGTCTCCCCAGCACCTCTTTTCCTCTTCTGGTTACAGCAGCTCCTCTTCTGGAGAGCTCTTGCCTACTCTAATCATAAGGTTTTGTTAGGAGCTGTCAATCACAGAACCCACCCCCATCCCAAGCTTGTCTAATCATTACCTCACCTCATCAAAGGGCCACCTGGTTGGCTTGGAAATGGACACAGTTAGAGTTCTGCCCAAAGATTTTCTGGACTAGAGCTGGAGCAGTTAGGTGAACAGTGATAGGAAAATGAAGAAAACTTCTCTCCTCTCTGATGGTAAAGCTGCGAGTGTATGAGTCCAGAGAGGCTGGTAGCCATGTGCCCAGGCACACTGAGAAAGTAGATCAGAAGCAATCATACAAAAGGAGAGATGTTCCTGAGCAACTCCTTCGATTCTAAGATCCACCCTAATGTGCTACTCTGTCTAATGTGGTAGCTACTGGTCACATGTGGCTAGTGAGCAATTGAAATGTGACTAGTCCAAATTGAATTGTTCATATGTCTAAAATGACACTGGATTTCAAAGATTTAGCATAAAAAATGTAAAATACCCCATTAATGATTTTTTATAATGAATAAATGTGAAATTATAAAATGTTGCATATATTAGTTTAAATAAACTAGATTTTAAGATTAATTTCAAAAAAAAAATTCATGTTTGTACTCCTCAGTATGTGGGCAGAGATCTAGACCTGAGGTACACACAACCCTTTCTTTAACACCTCTTTCTACATACATTAGTTTCCCTCATTCCATCCATCTTCCTTCAAGCCCTAGTGGTAACACAACTGTCATGTTCAGCCCCACTTGCCAGATGTCTCAGGGTCATTCCCCTGGTCAGGCAAGGTCATGGGGCCAGTATCAAAGACATCTAGTCTAAAATTTTTCATGACCCCTCAGCCTATGTCTCTGCCACTGCAAGCAACTGGGGGCCACAGAGACAGGTAACTCTGCCCAACCAGCCCACAGAAAGCTCCTTGAATTTTGTCCCAAAATCTCTGAATTGAGTTATGGGGGGAAAGAGTGAATTTCATTACCATCTTATTTAGGTAATTCCTGATTTATGCACCCATAAGTCACCCCAGATTGTACCACAGCTATTCTTTCCTCACAGCAGCCCCCAAAATAAAGCTGTAGTAAGATAAAATCCCTAACCCTATCAGCCACCACATAAGCTGTTTTTTGGGGTTTTTTTGTTTGTTTGTTTTTTGGATTTTTACAATTAATGCAACCTGCTTTCTCTAAGCAAAATGAAGGTAATTTTGTCCCCAGGAATGGAAACGTTGTCCTTCAATACTGAACACCAATACTGAACCTAAACATCAAGGGGAAATGCTTCCAGGAGACACATTGGGCTGAATTGTGCTATTGCTGAAATAGCTCAGTTCACAAACTATGGGCCTGAGACTAAATAAATGAGTATATCCCTGGTTAAAATGAATATAGCATTATTATTATTTTTTAATCTCCATAAGAGATTCCACAGTAGAGTCATGGTGGAAAAATATCACAGCAGAACTATATGACATCTATCTGGTGGTTTAGCCAGGAACCACCACCTCTGCACTAATGTGTCTCCAGGAGCAAGGAGCAGGTCCAGAGGCCTGCTGGGGGTGGGGCCCATGCTGCAGCTGGGACTCCCTAGACTGACAAACACAGTCCTTTTCAGAGGCGCTCAGGTTTCACTGGGATTTATGTACATCACCCTGGGCATGTATGTCAGGCATATGTCATGAGACCATGGGAGTCCAGGGCTGACCAGGGATAAGTATGTGAGCACAGGGTGGCATCATCTCACAGCAAGCTTTATTTGGGTGGCACATTGACAGCTTGACTGAGTGGAAAAGTCCCTCACAGGGTGATGCCTTCCAGTGGTAACAATATGGGGCCCCCACCTAGCAAACTAGGATGGCAAAGAAACTCCTAAGAGGAGGGAGTTTGGGGTGAGGCTCAGTTGTGGAAATGATCTCTCAACAGCAAGGCACAGAGTCTTTGTGTCAGAGGATTGCAAATGGATAGCAGGATCTTCAATGTATTTGTAATCACAGTTGACCTTATTTATGGGTAGCAAATTTGGGGTGAAGATTCACAGGGTATGCCAAGTAGACAGGCTATAAATGGCTTAACATTTACTAATTTAGGCTGTGTTTAAAACAATTCAGTGTGGAAAAAAATTGACATTGGTGACAATGGCCTTTTGAGCTGAAGGCCCTGTCTGCTATGAAGTAAATGAAAGAGCTGTAATAAGTGGGACCATCTTTTGACTCAACTATAAACCATGATTGATCATTTCAAATGATTTGTCTTCACATTCACCCCTCAAAAGCTTCGACACCACCTGTATACTTCCTCTCAGCTGGCCACACCCTCCTCCCGAAATTGCAATAAAAGCCTTTAGTGCTTCACCCTTCCAACATGCCCCGTGCTTCTGATCCTTCAGCAGCTTAACTGCACCTTCCCAGGACTCCTCAATCACTGCCCTTCCTCAGAGCTGTGCCTAACTAGTAGGACTTCAGAATCTGCAAAGGATCCAGCCTCTTCCTCCAACATTACTTGAGACTGATGACTCTGTGAAAGCTCCAAAAAAGAGAATCACAGAGGCTAATCCAACCAAAAACCAATCAATCAATCAATCAATCAATCAATCCATTTTAAGATAGCTTCATTTAGAAATGTCATCCTTAAAAAAGTGAATGAAAAATATGTTTCAAAATGGAGTGTAGAATATATAACTCCCAGAATTTAAAACCAGTACCCAGGAGGCACACTTCTGTCATGTGCCTGCCCTTTTGTGAAAGGAGAGATGAAACTCTGAAATAGGTGCGCAAAGGTAGGCATAGGTAAAAAAAATAGACAACCCAATCTTAATTATGAATGTCTGCACCAAATTATGAAATCTTCAATCTCAATGCAAATAGAAATAGATTTAAAATAACCTTATAAATACAATTAGTAAACAATGCAACGTCTTATTGATTCCCTTATTGTCTTATTTTATGTATTTACAAAATTAGAGAAACTATTTTTAAAGTCAATTGAGATTATAACTGATCAATAAAATTGTATATACTTAAGGTACACAATGTGGTGATTCACTCTACACATCCATTGTGAAATGAGTCAAGGCCATTAACACATCCATCACATCACATCACATCATCTCACACACCTTTGTGTTTATGTGTCACGGGAAATTGTAAGATATACTTACTGTATTAGCACCAGATTAGAAAGTCCATGGCCGAAATTCTTACTACTAGGAAATTAAAGTGGAAATATGTTGAAATTAAGAGTTTCTGCATTTTATAAATTGATAAAGTTAATCATAATTACTAAGAAAAGAATAGAAATGCAGACCCCAAATCACTAACACACTTCAGTACATTAAAGAAAAATGAACAAAAGAGGAGCCCCATGCTTGCTTCTTTTCTACACTGTACTGCACCCAATGCCAGGGCCCTGAGGCTGAAGAATTGACTATGCTGAGCACTACTGGAAATACACCCTGACATTTTGTGTTTGGGCTGGTGATATGATTGTCTGCATAGAACATCCTAATCATCAGAGAAATGCAAATAAAAACCATAATGAGGGCCGGCTGAGTGGCACGTTGGTTAAGAATTGGCTTGGGACGCCAGAAGGCCCCAGTTCAGATCGCACATATGAGGGCCAGTGACACTGCCCTCCACAGCTAAGATGCTGAACAACAGCTCAACCTGGAGCTGGGCTGCCGTGAGTCGCCGGCGACGGCTAGGCTGCAGCCCCTGCTGCACTGGGTCGCCATGGGATACCGTGTGTAGCCAGCAGCCCAAGT